AGGAATGATATAAAGCTTGTTCCTTCATAGTCACCAAATATTCCCGCTACCAAAGCTTCAGTTGTAGTAACTTATAAAATTACAGAGACTTTAGTGAGAGGTTTGTTCTAGATCAATGGAGGAAGAGCCTTAAAGCAGCGGTCCCCAACCTTTTTGGCCCCAGGGACTGGTGCTCCTATGAGAATCTAATGCCTGATGATCTGAGGTGGAGCTGAGGTGGTGATGCTAGTGCTGGGAGCGGCCGCAAATGCAGATGAAGCTTTGCTCACCCGCCTCTCACCTTCTCCTGTGTAGCCTGGTTCCTAACAGGCCACAGACCAGTTTCAGTCCACAGCCTGGGGCTTGGGGACCCCTGCCCTAAGATATATTGGGAAATAATATGAAGCTGGTCCTCTCTTCTCCTTTAAATCTGGTTATAGAGTTAAGAGGGAGGATTCACTAGTGAGAACAGTCTCTGTGATGACCAGGGTAGAAGCCACTGAAAATATAAATTATAAAAGTACTTTATGAAAAATGTCTAGTTTATGATTCTAATACATGATACAAGGGTCTAATTTTTTGTATTAAAACCTTGAAGTATTCTAAAGAAACATTCCTCCAACCTATGGTATGAGTAGAATGGAATGGAAAGAGATTAACTATACTTTCTTCTTCAGGGGTGTGTCCAGCAATGATTTCTCTTCTTTAGAGACTTTGTGTAAGAAAATCATTAAAGAAAAACAGGCTTTTGAAAGATTGGAAGTTAAGAAAGAAACTTTGTTGGAAATGTTTAAGGTAAATTGAACCATGACATATGGCATTTACTCTTACATCACTCATTAATGTTATTTGAAGTTGCCACACTGGGTTTTAGTGTACTAAGTCGAAGCTTGTCCTGTTCTTTATAAAAATTTAAGTGTTTCAAAACATGAAATATTGATATGTTAATATTCATACACTGCTTTGTGTACTTTGAGTTATATTGTAGCTATAGTACTTAGAGGTAAAAATTAAAGAAGGGTTTTTAAAAAAATAAATTTTTCCTATTTTCAGTACAACAAGTTCAAATGCCGGATATTGAATGAAAAAGTGAATACCCCAACTACCACAGTCTATAGGTAAGAATAGCACATGTCACTAAATACAACTAGTATACTTGTCATTTAAGTCTTTTATAAAAATTCCATTCATTTTGTCTTTAGGTGTGGCCCCTTGATAGATCTCTGCCGAGGCCCTCATGTCAGACACACCGGCAAAATTAAGACTCTGAAAATACACAAAGTGAGCAATGTGACTTTGAAGACTCTCTATGTAAATGTGTTTGTCTGCCATAGATATATGTTTAAACTTATCGGTTTCTCTTTCTACCATTTTTCTTTTGCATATGTAAGGGTGGATTTTTTTTCTCGTGCTGTCTCTTGACTGTGGGTGTTATATGTAGTTAGCTGTTTTTAGCTGAAATCCTTCCAAGCAGTGGCTGGCTGGCCATTCACCACCAGAGCACATGGGGATGTGTTGGGGGATTCACAAAATCACAGTTATGGGCCATCACGGCCCTAAAAGCATTGAGACTCAATGTCAGAGTATGTGCTTTTGCCCTTTGTGTGTCTCAGGTAACAATTACCCAAGTTGTTCTTGTTAAAACCAAGCTAATCCTGCCAGTGTCGTACTGGTTTATAAATATTTTATGGGTAATTATTAAAATATACTTTGTCATGAGAATAAGTGATGAAGACTCTTTTGTTGGTTATTTTTCCATTTTGGCTTAATCATTTGTGAGAGGAGCTTCTGTGGTCAGTCATGTTCGGGGAGCTGCGTTTGAGCAGGTATTGAGGGGTGGGCTCTATTGAGGGAATTAAACAGGCAGCTTCGTGCTACGGAGCGAGCACAGCTGTTCCCGCTCAGCCTCAGGGCAACTGTGAGATGTTTGTTTACTAAGTGTGCACTTTCTGTGCCATTTTCTTGTATAGGGGCTACTGTAAATTTGATTCATAAGGTGACTGTGAGAATAACTAACTCTTACAATAAATGAGATGTTTACAGATTTGAATATCATTTCACGATTAATCTGTGTTTTCAGAATTCTTCCACATACTGGGAAGGCAAAGCAGATATGGAGACTCTCCAGAGGATTTACGGAATTTCATTCCCAGATCCTAAGATGTTGAAAGAGTGGGAGAGGTTCCAAGAGGAAGCCAAGAACCGAGATCATCGAAAAATTGGGAGAGTATGTTAAAAACAAAAAACAGTAATGTGTCTAGACTGAGTTTTCTTTATTTTCACTTGAAATGTAGCTATATTAAGTACTAGGATTTGCCTTTTGAAGAAATGCTGTCACTTTCAAATATTGTACTGTGTCCTATATAAGATTTTAACTACTTTTATTGAGAACAAATGCTGATGACCTACAATTTTCAGTTAAAAAAGTATTGCAGTGTTTCATAGAGCTGGGAGATATTTTGGAGGTCAGCTGGTCTCACTGACGTATAGTAAAGATGTAGAAACTGAGTCACAGAAAGATTAATCTACTTGTTGCCTAAGCTGATGTAACGAGTACCAGTAGATTCTATGGTGTCATTTCCTTTATCCTCATACCTGTGAATGGTTTTTAAACTGGAAGTTAAGTTTTAGATGAAAACATTTCTTTCTGAAATTGTGTTCGCTCAGTGCCAGGCATCCTTGGTTGTTAGGTTATGAAGCTTGAGCCGGAGGTGGCATCCATGCCATGCTCCCTTGACTACTTGAAGTAAATTCCAGCAGTGATTGGTGGGGCAATCTCTGAAAAGTCTGACCATTTCAGAAGGGAGAGGTTAGGCAAGAAAATAGGAGGTGTGTTTCATTCACATGACCCAAAGTCACCAACTTTATCTCCGTTTTCTATTTTATTATCACTGTTTTTTTTTTTTCCTTATCTCCTTGCCACTCTTACTTTAAAACAAAACAAAACAAAAAAATGAAGAAAAATTAAAAACACCCAGATCTTAGAGCTTTAAGAAATTAAAACTAATAGCTTCCTTCTGTGGATAGAAGAGAACTAAGACCCGTGCTCCATGTCACTTTTGGGTAAACTTGACCAGATTCAGTAATGTAACAGGCAGAGGACTAAGTTGTAAAGCAACTGTAATCCTGTACCATTAAATTGCACGACAGAATGTCGACATGTTATCTTCAGATTGGGAATCAAATTTGATTGGCACAAATCAAAATAAGAGATATCATATTCTAACTCAAGAACACTGAAGTTTACGTTGATGTTATGTACATATGAGCATTCTTTGCTTTTCTCTTACCCAGGATCAAGAACTATATTTCTTCCATGAACTCAGCCCTGGAAGTTGCTTTTTCCTGCCGAAGGGAGCGTACATTTATAATACGCTTATCGAATTCATCAGGGTAAACCATACTCATTATTCTGCAGATTTAAGACATAAATTGATTTTATTAAATAAGGTCCACTAAAGGGAAAGATAATCTTGTATTTAAGAAGAAACATTTAAAGAATGAATAAAAATGAGTGTCTGAGTTCTCATAAAATGTTTAAAAACATTTTCTTCTTAACACATGATTTTGTCCACATGGGTGTGTACACAGGGGAGAAACCAGTGATCTTGAAGTGGGACTTATGACTCTTTAGACAGGAGCTCTGTGTGCTCTGACAATGCGTTTGTATTTTCCTGGAAAAGCGTTAGTCTTTACGTTGCTTTTTTTTCTTTGTAAATTATGAAGTGTTTAAAGCATACATCTATAGAGAATAGTCTCACCAATATCTGTGTACACACCACCTAATTTGACACATTTTTACATTGGACTATATCTGCTTCAGATTTTTTATTGAAGTAAACTAATACACATACAGTAACGGGGGGAATCTCCCCTGTTGGACCACTTTCTGGTCCATTTCCCTCCTTTCCTAGAAGAAACTACCCTTTTGAAGTTGACATGGATCCTTCTTATCTCTGTTGTTGTACATTACCCTATATGTATGTGTCCTAAATAGTTTGTGTTTTAAATTTACATAAATGAAGTCTCATTTGTATATTAGTCTGAACTGTGATTTTTAAAAAATACATACAGATCCAGTTATTGTCACTTGTTACCTGTTATTCCATTATATAACTACCACAATATGCCCAATCCTTTATTGGTGGACAGTGGTGAAATTTCTGATTTTTCCCGTGTTACTAATTGTGCTGCATTACGACAAACGTCATTTCGACGCTTAAGTACATGTGCAAGAGTTTCTTCTTTGGTATATACTTCCAAGTAGAATTTTGGATTAAAACTTGTATATCTCAAACTTCATTAGAGAGTATAAAATTGCTTTTTAAATTTGTACTCCCATCAGAAAAATAAGCATTTACTTATCTACACATGCATTCTGTTTTCTAACAGAGTGAATATAGGAAACGAGGATTCCAGGAGGTAGTCACCCCAAACATTTACAACAGCCGACTCTGGATGACCTCGGGTCACTGGCAGCACTATAGCGAGAACATGTTCTCCTTTGAGGTGGAGAAGGAACTGTTTGCTCTGAAACCCATGAACTGTCCAGGACACTGGTATTTAGCAGCTTTCAGTTTCTATTGATGATTTTCCCATGCTGCAATTAGCCCTAGATTGCTTTTCTTCCTTTGCAAGAATTTTTGTTAAAAACAAGCTATGTAATCAGAAGAGTATTTAAATGCAACGTTATTGTGGTATTAGAATTTCTTCTATGCCTGATTTGGTCCTCAGATCTATAGAAATGCAAGAATAGCACTGGGGTAATAGCAGTGAACAGGCAGAATATAAAACAGGAAGACTGAAATGTGGGGCATAGCAAATTCTCTAAGTTTTTCGTTTCTTAAAGAAACGGGTTCTATCAAAACCTACTGCTATGAGTTAACATCCTTGGGAAATCTTTGCCTTGTGGCTGCTCCTCTTCCTACCCTTGAAAGTTGGGTGAAGAACAGCTTGGGTAGGACTAGGGAGATCTGTGGCTCGGTGTCTATTGCTCCGAGAAGCAAAGGCCTCGAGGGCAGAGGAGGTGAGAGGAATCTCCACAAGGGAACTGGGTTGTAGGTCAGGGAACCGATTGAGTTCATTCTTAGTTTTCCCAGATTCTTCAAAGTGTCTGAAGCACCTTCGGACTAACAGGGATCTGAAGCACTTTGGGGAGAGACAGGAAAGCACAGGCCTTAGTTTCCACTGTTATACGCAATTTGTATAATGCTAAGGTGGTGGGTTTTTGTTTTTTTTTTAAATGTGCACCTTAAAAGCAGTGCACAAATTAATGGAAATATTGAGCACAAGGATTTGGCTCCAGACTTAACAGGAAGAAGTTTTTTATTCTCTCTTAATTATGGATGGTTGTTATAATTTATTTGCTGTCTCATTCATGCCAGTGCTTATACTGATATTTGACACCCAGCATTTGAGAAATGTTGCCTTTATGAACAATGAAAATCAGTGGCTTTTTGACAGCCTTTCATGTAATATTGCAGAAGCAATTTTTATTCCTGTATTAAATATCTGTGGGTTTTACTTTTTTCGTTAGCCTTATGTTTGATCATCGGCCAAGATCCTGGCGAGAGCTACCTCTGCGGTTAGCCGATTTTGGGGTACTTCATAGGAACGAGCTGTCAGGAGCACTCACAGGACTCACGCGGGTACGAAGGTTCCAACAGGATGACGCTCACATATTCTGTGCTATGGAGCAGGTATGAGACTCTGGGATAAAATACGCTGAAAGAAGTGTCAAGAAAGTCTAGGAAAATTACCGCTGTGTCATTCTTTTTTTTTTTATTTAAAGATTGAGGATGAAATAAAAGGTTGTTTGGATTTTCTGCGTACAGTATATAGCATATTTGGATTTTCTTTTAAACTGAACTTGTCTACTCGCCCAGAAAAATTCCTTGGAGATATTGAAGTCTGGAATCAAGCTGAGAAAGTAAGTGTTATTTTTCAGCGTGCTTGAATTCTATTTGGCTGAAATTGGCTTTCTCTGTAAGGTAAGAAAGCCAAGCCTCTTTAAATGGATAAAAGCAAAAGAAAATTGGAAATGGTTCATAGGTTTGAGTAAGCTAGTTTTTTTTCTGTATGATTTTGTATTTAGAAATGGTTGGATGTGTTTTCAGTCATTAAGTGTATTAGTATGTTCAGGTGGACAGAATGATAAAGCAGGGAATAGTGGCCCATGAAAGTAATTACTGTACCTTCATTCTCAAATTAGACTGGTAGAAGTTACAGATCAACAAAAATTAAAATCATTTTTGCTTTATCTTTAGCAACTTGAAAACAGCCTGAATGATTTTGGTGAAAAGTGGGAGTTAAACCCTGGAGATGGGGCTTTCTATGGTCCAAAGGTCAGTAGCAAAGTATATTTGATTAATGTGACTTTCATTTTTGAGTGAAGAAGAGATTACTTTAAGTTTTAAAAAAAGGGAAAATCAGCCCTAATACAGTTGTTGAGCTCAGCTTTAAAATAGGCAGCATCTCATAATAACCCAATCTTTGCTTCTTAGATTGACATACAGATTAAAGATGCCATTGGTCGGTACCACCAGTGTGCAACAATCCAGCTGGATTTTCAGTTGCCCATCAGATTTAATCTTACTTTTGTAAGGTAGGTTTCTTGTGTCTGCTCTGAATATTTTTTGTCAAGGACCTATTAAGGAATGAATACATATATATTCAGTTTTGTATGTATATACACACACACACAAAATAAAGGAAAACAAAATTTTTCTCTTTCTAGTCATGATGGCGATGATAAGAAAAAACCAGTCATTATCCATAGAGCCATCTTGGGGTCAGTGGAAAGAATGATTGCTATCCTCACTGAAAACTACGCAGGCAAATGGTAACTTTCATCATTGTTTTCTCCTGTTTTTGTCTAGCTGATGTAAATTGGCTCTAAAAAATGTCTACTGTCTAGTTTAGTTATATGATGGAAAGGGAGAATGATTCCAATTAGTTACTTCTAATTAATGCCAAGTATTCACTAAGGAATCACAATCTAAACCCAAATTTTTAGCTTTAAGAATATTTGTTATGAGTAATTATTTTTATTTCAGAACTTCATTTGTTGAATGTTATATAATACTTTCTAATTAGGAATTATTATTCAATAAGAAGCATATTTGTTGTTTTGATGGCTTTTCAGGTTTTGGGGTTTATATGGCTTTGATGTTTTCATCTGAGTAAACAAGAGTACTTTGGTTTACCTTGTTCAGTATTGTTGACTGTAATAAGTATTTTGACACCCTTTGGAAGCCACACATTTTTTTTTTATATATATATAATTGAAAGTATAGACTCCAAACTGATCAACAGTTTGTGTCTTGTTATGTTTTTGCTGGAAAGATATGAGCACATGATTTTATTTTTAAGCGGTTTTGCCTGGGCCCACAATTTGTAAAGGCAATTGAAAATAACACAACGTTATAAAACACTCATTTTATAGAGCCTGCCATATTAACTGTATTGATGCAAAACTTCTGCAAAATGTTATAAATTGGTTTTTTCTTACACATTGCAGTCATTTCAGTTTTATTTGTAATTTGGTTCTTGATGTTAGGAGAATGTCTCATACTTGTCAGTGAAATAAAATAATCTCTTTTCAGTTATGTTTTACAGAATCAAATATGGGAAACATTCTCTATGTTACATCTAGAGGACAGGGGATTATCAGCTAATTGCTCTGCCAAACCAATGGAAGGTGGGGAAAAGCCCACCATGTGGGTAGAATTTAGTGCCTATTCCAGGCTTTCCCCTGATGTAACAAAACAACTTAAAATAGAGGAATGATCAAGAGACACACAGGCCTGATGTCTGCGGCATTGGGAGGGTTTCACACTTGAAATACTGTATTCCCAAGGGAGGATTACAGATGCGGTCATCTTTTAATAAGTAATGAAAACACTCATTTTTACCAAATACCGTCACCAGTTATTATCGGTTACAATTTGCTGAATCCTGCAAATTGGATCTTGTATAAACTGAAGACAGTCTGTGTCCCCCATGAAGAAGAAGTAATAAAATAACACATGAACAAAACTTCTTGAATCACCAAGCGTGATTCTTTTACAGCTTGTTGACGCCTCTGGCAGCCTGTGCATGGTGTTCTGTGACCTGATATATTGAAGTGTGAGGCATAGTCCTGCCCCCAATTTGCTTTGCCGTCTGTTTAGCAAGACAAAACTTAAATCAGATTTTTCTTATTTAGGATTAGTTTTCTGCGCCTGGATCTCTCATTAGTTTTTTTTTGGAGTTTGAAAAAAAGCTATGTTTTTTAAAGTGGCACTCACATGTTTCAGGAAAAGATACTAAAGAGTAGACTAATAAATGTGCCATCTTTGTTTAGGAAAATCCACATTGAATATTTTTAATTTCTTCTAAAGGCCCTTCTGGCTGTCTCCTCGCCAGGTGATGGTAGTTGCAGTGGGACCAACATGTGATGAATATGCCCAAAAGGTAATCTGTAATAATGACCTTTTTTTTTTTTTTACGGTATTTTCAGTTTTATTATAAAATCACACACACAACAAAGATTGTCATAAGTCATTTCTTGGCTCTACTTGCATTCAGTACTTGCTCTTGAGCAGCTATCTTTGGTTTTACCATCTGACATGTTCCTTATGTCGTTTCGTGCAGTCTTTTTGTCCTGCCAGGTACTGCTTCTGCTATTTTTTTATGACTTTTCTTTAAATTTAGTATCTGTTATTCGGGTAAATCAAGCTGCTTATGATATAGAGAAATGTTACTATTTTCGATCTGTGGTAAGCTTGACTAGGTTATTTACTTCTTTAATGCTTTTCTCTGTGTTTCCATGATCAGAAGACATAATTTGGGTAGTGTTTAGTATTAGCAAATAGTGAATGCCTCAGTGTGCTATGTAAATTCAAATGTATAGTGCAGTTTAAGTTGCTCTTTGACTCAGAGTAATTTTGCTTCATTTTCAATATAAATTTCTTCCATTATTTGAAACTTTTTTTCAGGTTAATGGCACGCCAGACCAATGCTTTGCCCTACCCACCAAAAACTACCTTACTAGGTAGAAATATCTGTTCATACTTCATACCCGAAAGACTAGAACAATCTCTTTTTTTATGGCAACAATTCTATACTAAGGAATATTAAATTATTAAAAGTTGTGTTATAAAAAAAGCATTGTTTCAGAATCACAAGTTATAAGTAATAAATTGTTTAGTTAAAACAGGTGAAAATCTAAAATTCATTGAACAATCTTATAACATCAAAAACATGTTTCCAAATCATCAAAATAAATTGCACTCAGGTCTCAACCATCTTTAAGAAATAAATAAACTTTAAACACGCTAAATAGCAAAAGATTCAGACATACTGTATTCCTATTACTGCACACAGCAGTTTTAGTTCTAAATGATGAGAGTCAGTTATGTTCCATGGTTAATTCTTTGTGCTTCATCTTATATGCATTGTGAAGGCTCACACAGAAAGACGAGGTCTGTATTAGTCAACTCATTTCTCAGCTGGAAACAGTACTGACCTCCCTTCTCTCTGGGGGTCAGGTGGCATTTAGAATTATGCAGGGGTAGAGTTTTTACTTTGGGGTTTTTTTCAGTTATATGGATTGAAGTGGGGCACTACTGCTGATACTTAATGACTAGGGACCAGAGGTTGAACAGTCTACGGTTGTGGGGCCACTCCCCCAATTGCAGAATAGCCCAACTCACATGTATACAGGGCCATGGTGAGAAACTAAGACACTGGTGCTTTATTCTTTAAAGTAGGTTACAGTTGAAAATGTAGTCTTATCCTGGCACTTTAATAAACTATGTAAGAACCTTTCTGGAATTTGCATACTTATAAAAATCCCAACAGGTTCATTAATTAAGGATCATTAAGGCATGAACACCTGTTAGTGAAATACAAATGCTTCATTCACATTTTTCTGTCATATTGGTGGTAGTTGGTTGACAGGTTGATGAAAAATTAATCTGGTGTATTTAATTTATAATCAGTGCAATTTAATCTAGTGTTGCTTTTTTATAAAGGAAAAATACTGAAAACATTGTTTACTTAATACATGAAGACTTGAGACAATAAAGTGGAATTGGTATTTTTGAGGGAAAAAGGCAGCAGTGAATAATAGTAGCTAATGCAGTTTGCCAACTTTAAATTCCTGGAAGTTTATTTAGATGTCTCGATTTGATTTTGGCTCTAAGTCCTTTATCTGCCTCCTTCATTTAATGAGCTTCCTTTTCATCTTTGGGATGAGATTCAAGACACATGGATATACAAAGATGTGAGGAGAAAAAAACAGTTGTTAGACTGATTTTGACATAAGATGACAGGAGAAAAGAGTCTACATTTTATTAAGAATAAAATAATTTAAACCTAGTAATTTAAAGCAAGATTCTTTCATTTATGTTAATAACAAAATTATATATATATAAAATTATATATATAAAATTATATGTAAAATTTTATATATATATAAAATAAACCAACAAATAAATTTGTCAACATGTTCAAATCCAAAGTGAATTTAATAATTAGCTCTATAGAAATAGTTTCATTTACATGTGGTATATTATAGCCTGGTAATATGTGTCCATTCCCTAAACCATCAAAGTATCCAATATTTACAAATTACATCTCTTATCATATTAGGTTGAAAAACACCATTTTTGTTCTCATGTCCCCCATCAGACCTTTGGGAACATTAAAAGCCTGTCCCTTCATGTTTCCAGTGACTAGCTCAGTGCCCAGCACATTGCAGGAAGAGTGGCTGGTGAGCAAGGTGGCTCCATGAGTGGCTGGTGAGCAAGGTGGCAAGTAGAACAGGCAGTAAGTTGTTGGAAGTGGCTGAGATAGGACATGATAAGCTTTGCTTTAATCAAAAGAAAATCACTGCTGAGAAAGAAAAAAATTACTTTTAATATTTCTCAAACCCGATATTTTATTTTATTTTACTTACTCTTAGAGTTCTATTTAATTAGTCATATACACAGAATTATTAAAGAAATAATTAGTGTTAAAAGACAGTTTATATTCCATTTTCTAGGAATATGAAAGGAGCTGTCGTGATGCCTTTAGCCTATAGTTTGTGCGATCAACATTTTTAAAAAGTATTGGACACAAATGGCAGCAGTGGGTGGATTCCTGTTACCAACTTGCTGCCTATTTGAGGCATCAGAAATGTTATATTCTCTATTAAAACTGGACAACCATCATTGGATGTTAAATGTAGACCAATTATTTTCTAGAAGCTATATAGGGAGTTTAAGATTATATTTGCAAAAAGGATTTCTTTCCTTCTGTAATGTATGTTTTAAGACAGCTAATTAAATTTACCTTATTGATTGCCTGAATTCTTATTTTTAAGGATTTTCTAAAACATTCAAGAGCAGAATATGTTGTTTTGATTTTATTTTTATTGTAGGCCCGGGTCACAAATTAATGATGTATGTATTTTAATAATATGTTAACATTTCTTTTTTAATGCTTGCATGATTACACAAATTGCAGGTTAAATAAAAATCATTTAAGATAAAAATATTCTCATTTTAGATCTGAAGAATCCTATATCTCTATTTAAATAGGTACGGCAGCAATTCCATGATGCTAAATTCATGGCGGACGTCGATCTGGATCCAGGCTGTACATTAAATAAGAAGATCAGAAATGCACAGTTAGCACAGTATAACTTCATCCTGGGTAAGAAAGGAAGCTTACCAGAGAAAATCTGCCAAACCTTACGAGAATTCTGAAATCTTGACACTTAGACTTAAGAGAATTGTAGTTGTCAGTTTAGTTCCTTCTAATCCTGATTCTTACACTATTAAGTTTATTTAGTTAATATAAGAATGTAAAATTTTGGTGTGAAAAAATATTCTTTAAAAGTCTGTCTAAAAATTTTCTCCCCTTCACCTTTTATTTCTTCATATGGTTAAGTTTTTATTAAGTTTTAATCATTGCAAAGTGGGTTTTTTGTTGTCTTTTATTTTAATGAAGAGACTTTTAAATGGGTTTCCCTACTATACATGGTCACCTATATATTTTAATCAGAAGAAACTACAAGACGGCTTTGGGTCCTGGGATTTCTGTTGGAATGTCCAATACGAACCCTTCTATCTAAGGATTCTTATTGTCTTTTGTTTTAGTTGTTGGTGAAAAAGAGAAAAGTGGCGGCACTGTTAACATTCGTACAAGAGATAACAAGGTACACGGAGAACGTACCGTTGGTGAAACCATCGAGCGGCTGCAGCAGCTCAAGCAGTTCCGCAGCAAACAGGCAGAAGAAGAATTTTAATGAAGAACATTGCCCCTCTCAGCTCAGTGGGAAAGGATGAGCAAGTGTTGGCGCTAATCCAGAGCGTTAACTTCGTACGCTGGAAAACATTAATTTATACCGAACTCGGAATGGTTTGGCACAGTCTGCTTAGGTGACTACAGGGGAGCAACCTTTTTTGACCTAGACAAGTTTTAGACAATGTGTATTTGAAGGAGGTAATTAAAAGTGACACATTAAAATGATTTTATTCATTAAGTATCTGAGCACTGGAAATAAACCATGAGGAATGCTTTAGTGTGATCAGGGAGAACATTTTTGTAAATTTAATGCATTTGAAAAATAAAATCAGATTAGATTCAGACGAAAGACTAGAATTAGATTATGGTATAAAAATAAAAACTTTAAAATTCATATGTTTCAAAAGACTTCTCTGACCTTCACATACATACCACACAGGTACCTGGCACAAATTGCATGATTGTATTTATCTTTAATGTTTTATAACAAATATGATGTAAGTTTGGGGAGGGGAGCAAATCTGCAGTGCATATTCTCAGAGTGGGATATGGACTAGGCACCTCCTTCTCGGTCCCAGGATAACTTAATCTTTTAGGGGTGTCACTTTTACTTTACTTCTTTTTTAATATAAACCTTTTAAACAATTAAAACCAACCATGGATCTAATGTAGAGTAGATTTGCACAAATTTTTAAGATAAAAGATGAGTCTTCAAAGAAATATATGTTTATGGCAGACTATTCTGGGCCATCGAGTCTCTTATTAGACAAATTCCTTATTTTCATAAGGGATAATTTTTGAACTTTTCTACCAGCAAATGGTGTTTCAAAGAACACCACAAAATAAGGAATTCCTTATGTGGATATATATGAATTTCTCTTTAATCATTTTTAAAAGGCAACATCTTGGCAGTTTTTTAATAACCCTGCCATTATGTGAGCAAGGGTCACGGAAAAGCAAAGCCAATTTGCATAGATCAATTCTCACTTTAATAGAGGAGATATGATCTTTAATCATAGGGATTTTTTTTTGAAATTTTATAATTAAGGCTTGCTTTATGACTCTCTTAAGACTTAGGCTTTGATAGGTTTGTAATTAATTTTCACGTGTATCTTGAGAGAAACTATTTAAACGAGAACTTTGCATTTTCAAGTCATGAACCAAAATTGCTGAATCATTTTTAAATAATATATTTGATCATTATTATTTTTTTTAAATTCACAGTATCTTAGTTTGGATTTTTCTTCAGTTAAAAAAAAAATTATATTACAAAATCATTCTGTAGTCCAAAGACCAACTATGATTTTAGCTACATTTTTCATTTCCTATTTTATACCTAAAACCACAAATGTCTTATGTATTAACAATTTCCTTGAGATATTTATAGAAGCTTTATAAACCTTTCAAAGCTTAAGATATAAAATATATTTTAAAGACATAGATTGGCAGGACTGGGAACCCAACAATCCTCTTTGTAACAGACACCTTCTTAGCTTAGTCCTTGCTTCCAGCGGAAGCATTAAAGGACCACCACTAAGGGCTCTTCCAGTTTGTGGGCTTATTCCATCAAAGCTCTTTTCTCTGCAGTTAGTTTGTTTTGTTTCTTTTCTTTTCCTTCTGTTTCCTAGAGGGCAGAGACTGTTCTATTGACTTACTCATCTGTTGTTCCGATATATAACAAGAGTTGAAAGAACCTAACTGCAAAGCCTTTATTGAGCATCTAGTCTATTGAGAGTTATCTTGGCAGTCAAATATACAGGAACGATTTGAGAATAATGACAACAAAGTTGGAATCACTATGTGATAAATTCTGTAAAGACAGATTTTATAAAGTAAAAAATAGGTACCAAAATAAAGTGTAGGTATCAAAATGTGTAAAATCGGTACCAAAACTAAAATCTGTAGATACAGATTAAGTCAGGAATACTGAGCAGTCAGATTATAGGCAAGTGAAAAGGGTGAAGGACCTAGAATGGTGGCCTGAGGTCACACTCGAACCCCTGTGACCTCATGTACCCAGTGAGTCCTCTCGCTTCACTTCTTCATTTCAGCAATGGACACCTGCACCGGGACTGCTAGACCAGTGCTTTTCAAATTGTACTGGGCCTATGAATCACCAGGAAATGGTGTGGAAATGCAGGCTCATTCAGCAGGTCTGGTCTGGGTCCTGAGATACCGCATCTAGTAAGCTCCCAGTTGATGCAGAGGAGCACACCTTGGGGTAGAAGCTCTCCTGCTCTGACTTGACTTCTCTCTTCCTCCTTAAAAATAAGTCAAATAGTAATAAAAGGCTTATAAGAAAATTAGAGCCTCTTGTCCTCGTGACCTTCCTGGGATTCCCATTCTCTCAGGCGTATGCCTCTGTTCCTGTTTCTAAACACTATTGCTCTCCTGATTCATCACCTTTAGAACCCCTCTATTAACTTCTGTTTTAGAAGGTGAGGACTTTAGTTCACACCCTTGTATTTCCTTCCTCCATACTTCTAATATATCTTGATTTTTTGTTAAGTCCATACTGTGTCTGTTACTACGTCCATAAATATGCTCTATGTCAAATCGTAGTCTATGATTACATTTGTTCTAATATAACCTTCATTTCGTTGGACTTAAAAAGTATCTTTCTTTTAAAGTATTTTCTTCGAATATCTGACTTGAGCACCTCTGTTTTAAACATTTCACTACAGCTCTTCCAATAAGTCTAATCTTTTTTTTCCAGTTTTATGTAAGTTTAAGGTGTACGATGTGATGATTTGATATACATAAATATTGAGTAAGTTTAGTTAACACCTCCATCCCCTCAAATAACTGCCATCCATAAGTCAAATCTGGCAGACAATTCTCTAGTTCCATTTATCCTCTGAGACAAATTCCTTCTAGAATCCTCCATCTCCTGCTCTAATCTGGGCTCTTGGCAGCCCTCGCCTGTCAGCCTTTACCTCCTTTCCATGTTTGGTCCTTTTCCTGGATTCCTTTTTGTTGGTTCGCTATTTCATGTTAGTGGACAGGATTTTCCACTTGCTCTTCAAAGAAGGATTCATGGGCTAGGTATAGAATTCTTGGTTGAAAATATTTTTTCTCATAATTTGGAAGAGATTGCTCCCATTTACCTGTGCGTTTTCGTCTTTCCAGGGGAAATCCATTCCTATTCTCAGTCTGTTTTGTCGCTTGTCATTTTTTTTCTCTGAAAGGTTTAGATCTCTTCTTTATCCTTATTCTGAAATTTCATGAAGAGGATGTAGATATTTTGCCTTCCATCGTGGTGAGCAGCCTTTTCTTTCTGGAGATTTACATCCTTCAGTTCTGAAATGCTTTTTGTGTTGTCTTTGATGGTTTCCTCCTCTACTGTTTTTATTGGGCCTTATATCATTTAGGTGTTGGACTTGAAGCGAGATTTCCTTCACTTTCTCTTCACAGTCATTCTATTCTGTAGGTGTGTGTTTTGTTTTAACTGTTATTTATTTATTTTAGTTTTCAAGAGTTCTTGTTGTTATATCACTCCCTGTATTGCAGCATCCTGTTATTCCTTGGATTCAGTTTCTTTTATCTCAGGTATTCTTATAAATTACATTGAAGTTTTGTTTAGCACACTGCATTGTTTTTACTTTAAGTTCGCTTGTCTATGTTTTGCTCTCTTGTATTATAAGCATGCTTAACTGCCAGAGATCCTTGTTTAAGAGTGAAACACTAAAAAATCTATTAGAAGTATGTGTGTGTGCATATGCACATGCTTACTGAGAGTGGTGATAGACTTGAGAACTTTACTGAATTACGATCAGTTGGAGAAATTATTTTTGCATTCTTTCTGTTCTCTTAGTGAAACTTCTATTATTTAGATGACCTACTTTCTAAGAGTTCTCTTTAAGTTTATCGTCCCATTCTACTGATTTAAAAAAATATTTCAACTGTCACTTTTTTAAGTTTTCAAGTGTTCTTCCTTTTTCTTATCATAGCATCCTATAGGGTCATTAAGTTTCTTTAGAGACGTTTCTTCCAATTTCCCTGTGAGGTAAGCCTGTGGCTTTTTGATTTCATATTAGAAAAGGGATGCCTTATCAGACTTTCACTTGCTCTTTCTATGTCCAGAACAGTACCTCATCCTCATCCTCCCCCGACTCTGGTGTACCAGAAAGTTGACACCAGAGCATAAACCCCATAGTCCTCTGGGAGGGGCAGGGTGAAGTAATCACCTGACTGCACAGGTAAGGATTTAGATGGGTCTAATGGCTCTTTTTGCAGATTTTCAAACAGTACTCATATTTAGTTTCCTTTCTTCCATTGTACCTTTTAAGACCATTCTACCATGGCTCCTGGTCCCATGAAAGAGAATATGGTATAGAGACAAAAGTATGAGCTTTGGAAAAAGATAATTGGGTTAATATCCTAACCCGGTCACATCAGATAAATTTGTTTAATTTCTCTGAGCCTCTTTTCTTATCCATAAAGTGTAGATAATGCCACTTTCATGGAATAGTTATGAGGAGTTAAGTTTTACATGTAGTATACGGAAAGTAATATTCTCATTTGCTCCAGTATGTACTTTGCTCCAGTAGTTATCCCTTTATATCATCACCTTCTCCCCTAAGTGCCTTCTAGCTCTCAACGCCAAAGCACCATCTTTTCTATTCCACTGTATTCTGTGTCCTTGTGTATTCCGACTTCAGCTCCCTTCATACCATAGAAATGGTTCTTGCCAAAGACCAAAGATCCTCTATGTTGCATTTGACAATTCCCTCTAGGAATTCATGTGTTCAGGAAAAAAAAAAAAAGAAAGAAAGAAACCCTTGGGATCTAGATATGGAACAGGTGTTATATCAGACAGTGAGAAAGGTGGACAAAATTCCTACCTTCATGGAGTTGACAGTCTAGCAAAAGAGGAGACCAAATATTTAAAACTGATGCTTATCGTAAAGGAGGAAGCGCGGGGACAGAAGCACATAGAGTCTGTAGCGTCATGGGAGGCAGATCAAGAATAAAGGCCTGAATGAAATCAGGGACTGGAGAATAAGAAGAAGGAACTGATAGAAGAGGTAGCAAGTAGGAGAAATGACTGCACTTGAGAGGGAGTGGGCTGGGGAAAGTAGTGAGGAACGGGAGGCAGGGCTTCTGTGGAATTGAGGGTGCAATGACTAAGGGACAGAATCAAGGGTCGAGTGACTGCGGGTGATGCCATCTCTAGGAGGAATAATTAGATCTAGATTCACAATGGCCTGTTTGAAGTGACATTTATGTGTTCACTTTGAAAGTGTGGTCATGTGCTTTCTGTAAGCTCTTAAAGATATTCAATCCAGGAGAGACTTAGGTAAACTGGTTTCTTCAAGGTATGACTTCTTGGAGTTTTCAGTATTTCAAAGTGAATTATGAATCTTCTATGATGCCACAACTCCTTTTATCAAA